ATTAAGAGTGAAATTAAAAAGGAGAACTTTAATAGAATTGCAAAGAGTGAAATATGTGAAATGAATAATTTTAAGTTAGTTAGTGAATGTTACGTAAGAAGGAGAAATGTCACTTCTAATTATGTCTGAACGACAAAATTCAATTGTTAGAATATTATATGTGAGTCGTCTTATATTGATTTGATAAGGTAAATAAGCATAGTTTATAAATTTACTGGGCTACTTCTCCCATCACCAATTAGTTTTGGGATGAAACCTCACTTGGCTTTAATTGAGCTCATCCTGTTATGGTACGCTTCACCTGTGTGGCACTGCACCCTTGATCTCCCGATTATCAAAAATCTAACATGTATAAGAGCAAGCCTAATTTGGGACCTGCTATACCCGACCTAGTTGGAGGCGTGGGCTGATAAATGACTCACAAGTGGAGGGCGCTGATGAATGACTCACAAGTGAGGGGGTGTTGGAATATCACTTGTGAGTTGTCCTACATGGATTTGATAGGATATATGAACATAGTTTATAAGCCTAGTGGACTACTCTTCCTACAACAAATTGGTTTTGGGATGTAACCTCACTTGGTTTTTTTCTGGGCTTTTTTCCCATTTCTTACATGGTATTAGAGTCGGTTCTATTGGGACCGTGCGATGACGTACTCGTTTCCCATCCATTTGGGCTTGGGCGCTTTGGCTTCTTATGAAGGACTCACAAGTGATGGAGCATATTAGAATATTCACTTGTGAGTTATCCTACATCGTTATATAGGGAAAATTGTTTGTTGTGTTTTTGTGCTTTTTTTTATGTATTTTTGTGTGTTATCGAGTCGGTTTTAGGTTTGTTTTTGTGTCGACCAATCCATTTTATCGTTTTCTATGTGTTTTTGTGTCTTTTATTTTATTTTATATTTTGGCGTACTTTTCTGTGCTTTTGACATATTTTCAGGTTTATCCCGAGGATGAAGAGACGAGTCAAATCGAATCCCGAGAGATGAGCTTTCTGAAGGATTTCGAGTCAATTCTGTGATGTGTCGAGCCATTAGCCTTAGTCGAAGCTCGCGGATGCGCCATTACCCGCTGCATGACTCGCGCGCTCGCGGAAGGCTCGACGAGGTTGAGAGCGACCGCACGCCCGCACTCGTCTGCTGCCAACGCACGCACGCCCCAACGGTTCGCCCTGCCCACACTCGCGATCGCGCGGAAAGCACGGCGACCTCGCGAGTGCCGCCTACCTCACTCGCGCCCTCGCGGATACTCTCGTGAGCTCGAGAGTCCACCAACCCCAGCATACCAAACGCCCGCGCGCTCGTGGATACGTATGCGAGTTCGAGAGTACCTCCGCGCCTGTGTGCCCTTGCCAACCGTCACCTGCAAGCTCGTAGATTTTGTGTAGAGGTCGAGAGTGTCTCATTTAATCTGCATGTTTTTAGTGTGTGTTTTGAGTGGGAGTATATATATTTTTTTTCCTTTGCATTTTGGGATCCAACACTCAACACTCATTATATCATTTTTCTTTCTTGGTTCTTAGTTTATGTTTATGTTTGCTCTCTAGACTAAGGAGCTTATGTCATTTTCTGGGAGATTTTCCGGCGACTTTGGTTTCTTTCAAGTTTCGAGCTTTTGACTCCGTTTTTCATCGTCTAAGCAATAGAAGAATGAGTATTTAGTTTTAAAACTCTTTACTTCGATTTTTGCCTTATTTTTGCTTATAATGTTTATTAGGGTAAATTTGAGTATGGTTGATGATGGAGGGAAAATTGGGACTTCATTTCTTTGGATGCTTGCTTGAGTATTTATAGGGATTAATTGCTTGTTGATCTCGGTTAAGGGTTAAGACCCGATAAGGGCTTAATTACTTAGGGTTAGAAGGCTAGGGTTAATGATCTAGTGCTCATGGCTCGTTTATTCCTCTTTGTCGTTGACTATTATTTCGTTGTGTTGCTGACATGAGACTCCGATAGTCTAGCTTCGTTATCTGCTCGTGATTTGATATTGCTCTTAGTTGCTTGCTTGCTCGTTTAGTGTTAATCAACCTCCAATCCAATTGATTAGAATGTTTAGGAATTATTTTTTCCTTTTTGTGACTTGAACAATCAAATAGTAGGTAAACCTTCGAACCGCCTATCTTTTGAGAACGACCCGAGTCGGGTAACTCGGTTATTCTTTACCCACCGCAAAAACTTTGCTAAACAAAAATAGACATAATTTATAAGTCTAGTGGGTTACTCCTTCTTCTACCAATTGGTTTTGGGATGAAACATCACCTGGGCTTCATCTAGGCTTTCACTGTCTTGGTGCGCTTCATCTGCGTGGGACCGCACTCATTTTTTCCCGTTTCTTACATTCTATTTGGGACCGTGCGATGACGTATTCGTCTACCCAGCCCGTTTCTAGTAGGGCTTGGGCACCCGGCTTCGTATTTGGGCTTGGTCTTTCTTAAGAAAGACTCACAAATAAGGGGGCATATTAGAATATTCATTTATGAGTTGTCCCACATTGTTTATATGGAGAAAATAAGCTTAATTTATAAGTCTAATGGACTACTCCTCTACAACAAATTGATTTTTGGATGGAACCTCACTTGGGCTTAATTTGAGTTTTCTCTGTCTTGGTGCGCTTAATCTGCATGGGACCGCACACGTTTTTCTCATTACACAATTTAGATAATCTGCATGGGACCGCACACGTTTTTCTCATTACACAATTTAGAGGATATATTTATTGGATTTGTAAAAACTTTTTATTAACTTTGAAAATCCTAATATATTTGATCTTGATTTTTTAAAATTTCACAAGTTATTCGTTTGAGATATTAAAAAATATTAAAAATTACGAGGCATTTTGGTTTCTATCTTTATTCGTTTGGTTTCTTTGATAATTGAGAAATAATAGAATTGCATTGTTGATCATAAACACGTGGTTAGATCTTAATTAGAAAGATAAATAAAGACTTTTGTTGATTAAAATCCAACCACAGCCTAATTCTACAAACAAAATCACCACATATATATATTTGTCAAGAACTTCTATTTTACGTTGTATTCACTTTGGAGTATTTTTGTTCTCATTTGGAGGGTGTTTTTAGGTGTTAGCCATTTGTTCCCTTTCATAGTTTTTGTCTTGTTTGACACTTAACCGTAACTGATACGGATAGCTGATTGTATTGCATACAGTCGATAATATATTTTATGAGTCACCTACCCACGGTAGACACATGTTAATATACCCATCGCGTAGGTGACATGCACTCATTGGTGATGTATTTTTTAAACATATTAACATCACCAATGAGTGCATGCCACTTACGCGGTGAGTATATTAACATGTGCCCACCGTGATAGAGGAGCATTTCTATATATTTTAATAGTTGATTTGATTAACGAATTATATTAGTATTTTGTAAATAATTAGCTTATTGAGCTCAAAAAAATAATCAAATAAAATAAAATAAAAATAATAATAATAAGAAAGATTACTCCTCAAACCATCATAACTAGTGGTGTCTATCCATCGACACCCCATTTCCCATCTCCATACTCATCACATCCATTGCAAATCACCCAAACAACACAAACAAACATCACCCAAATCTTGTCCACACAGTACACACACAGAACTACACAACACACAACACACAACACACAACACACAGCAATGGCTAGTCTCAACTCCCTCTTACCACCCCCAAAACTCACTGCTCCACCCCCAAGCCCAACCCTAAGCCCATCCCCCAAGCCCATATCCCTCCCCTCCCTTCCCGAGCCCGTTCGCCGGGCCGGGCTCGCCGCCCTCCTGTCGGCCTCTCTCTTCCTGGCCCATCCCGGGCCCGCGCCGGCCTTCAAGGGCGGCGGGCCTTACGGAATGGAGGTGACAAGGGGTCAGGACCTCAGTGGCCGGGACTTCAGCGGCCGGGAGCTCGTCCGGCAGGACTTCAAGACCTCCATACTCCGGCAGGCCAACTTCCGGGGAGCCCGCTTGCTCGGGGCCAGCTTTTTCGATGCTGATCTCACCGGAGCTGACCTGTCGGGGGCCGATTTGAGGGGCGCCGATTTTTCATTGGCCAATGTGGGGAAAGCGAACTTGAGAGGGGCGATTTTGGAAGGGGCGTTGGCCACGGGAAACACGTCGTTTAAAGGCTCCGACATAACGGGGGCCGACTTCACGGACGTGCCGTTGAGGGACGATCAGCGGGAGTATCTGTGTAAGGTGGCGGATGGGGTTAATCCGGTCACCGGAAATGAGACGAGGGAGACTTTGCTCTGTAAGTAAAGGTCGAAAAGGAAAAAGGAGAAAAAAAGGAAGAAATTTTGTGGTTTCTGTTAATGTGTTATTGAAGGATTTTTCACTTTTGAATCTTGGAAAGAGAGAGATAATAAGCAGGATAATAAAATTTGATCATTTGTATGTTGATTTTACTGGATGAAGAAAAAAGATTCATATATGTATGCCATATTGTTGTCTTTGTTCGAGCAGAATTAGGTTAGATCATTCGTTTGAAGTCACATGCATCCATTTGCCGACATCAATCGAACGGACCGGAGTCTTTTACTTCCAACCAGCAGATAATAATATGATTAATAGGGATATCCAGGCTAATCATGTCGGGTAAACAAGGCCTAAGAGGAAAAAATTGGGATGTAATGATATATATCTATCATTATCATACTTGAATTGAAAGAAGCTCTTGTGTAATCGATACTAATAAGAAGTAAACAACAGACCATGTTAGATAAAATGAGAGCTTTAATATAATTAGTTTCTCAACTCGAAATGAAAAACACCAAATTCATTTAACGGGTCTTAAAAATTCCAATGTCGATAGTCAAGGACATAACTCAAACTCGATATAGTCGAAAGGAACAAAAGCAATAAAGAGCACCCAAAATCATGGAGTCTGAAATAAGAGACAGTCTCAAGCCACTGCTTTTCTTCTTCTTCTTCTTCTTCTTCTTAAAGAGTAAAAATTGCGAATTAACTAAATAGGAAATGCTCTCCGACTTCAGTTCACTCTTCGTCTTCCTCATCACCATCACCACCAGAGGCCTTCTTTGCTGCCGCCTTCAGATTCTTTCTCTTCACTCTTCCAGCTCGGCCACCGCCAAACGGGCTCGTGAGAGAGAAGTCAATGTGCTTCTGTGAGTCAACTCTCACCATGAATGAAGGCACGTTAACGACCTGCCTGCCAACCCTGGATTTAAAAAATAAAAATAATTAGCGCTGACGAATATTACAACTCTCAATGCATTCAGCAGCATAATTAAATTGAGTTCCTAATTAACAATACAGATTTTTTAGATTGATCACTAAGCATCAACCCAAAATTGGATCATAGGAGGCAGATTCATAATTCATGCAACGAACTGAACTAAAAGCATAATCAATCAAGTCCATTGGAAATTAGAAATGTGGATGAAATTTCAAATTTCATTAACCTACAAACATTTAGTATTCAACAACCGAAATAGTAGTAACTCGATACCCACCTTCAGCAATATCTACAACTTTTGTTGCACAAAGATCAAAACTCACAGAAATAACGTGCAAGCTCAAAATTGGGCAAAGAGAAAATGAGAGGAATGCTAGTTTATCAACATGCCCCATCATCCAAGATTCCACTTTAAACTGCAACAAAAAACTAATAAAAATATAACATCAAATCGAGCCACCAATCATTATCAATATACCTGATATGCCTTTGCCTGATGAGCACCCTAGCATGATGAATGGACTTAGCCATGCCAGCCTTGAAAACGAGTGTCTGGAGACGGCGCTCGAGGAAGTTCTCCACAGTGAGAGCAAGAACATAATCGAGTTTGTTCTGGCTCTCGTCAAGCAGTCCATACCTGTTCATCCTCCTCAAAAGGGCCTCACCCTCAAAAATACGGCGTGGATCCTTTTCATCGAGGGTCAGAAGGTTCCTAGCATTGTTCCTAATGCGGCTCAGAGCATACTGAACCCTCCAAAGCTCCCTCTTGCACCTCAAACCATACTCTCCAACAAGTTTGAGCTCAGCATCAAGTCTTTCCTTCTCATACGGACGTCGTGGCTTCTTGAAGGTCTTTCCATCTGTAACAAAGCCATTATTTTTTGAACAATTCAACAAGCCAATTCACTTTATTTCATGTCATTTCTCCTTTTTTTTTTTTTTTGCATTTATATCCGTAACTGAGTGTTTCGGTCAGCTGCTAATAGAACTATATCACTGAGACTTAACCCTACACAACAATATCCCCCAAATTCTCCGAACAATCGAAGGGGGCAACACTGGGAGCAAAGAGATTATTTTTTTCTTAAATAAAGAATCTACATTCAGATTCCATAGGATTAATCTAGAAGCTACAAAAATATTTCTCAGGAACACGAAAATTAAACATAATAAGCACGGAAAACGACGAACACACGGAGAATGGCAGCACAAAATCACATAAATGTAAGATTTGACAATAATGTATGCATATGTGTATCGAAAGCAAAGAGAAGAAAGTAAGGGGATCTTACAGTTCCGGTAAAACGAGACGTGCACCATTGTTTTTGTCCTCCGCCGCCGCCGATGAGAACGTTGCTCCGGCGATCTGGTATTGCTGACTGCAGTAGGACAGGGATGCTAGGTTTTGAAATGGAGGAGTTGGGGAGACAGCTATATACGGCCTTTATAGGTGGGCTTAAACCCTAATGGGCTTCTACCGGTCGAGTCGAAGGATGGGGAAACAGAAATCGGGCCTTTTCGTTTAAATCAACTAACGGTTGCAAACTGGTACAGATCAGTATAATACTCTAGCCCAAAAAGCTTTAATGTGGCTCGCATTGGGCCAGATTCCAAAATCAAAAAGATTGGGCCCTACATAAAACATAAAGAAAAGAAAAAAAAAAGAATGGAAGTGGAAGCTTTCATCTGAAGACTATATTATCAGAGCCAGGTTTCGATCCTGGGACCTGTGGGTTATGGGCCCACCACGCTTCCGCTGCGCCACTCTGATTTGTTGGGTATCATATGGCAGTTTTATTTTTCACCGAAAACAATAGAAGCCCAAATTCTTGGTGAATATTTTCCTAATTTAAGGGAAAATGTACCTATATGTGTGTGTGGCTGTGACAGTTCAACACACTATTTAAAGTTTACAAACACTATTATCTCTAATTGAAGTTCTCTTACAGTATATAATATAATATAATAAATAACTATCAAATAATAAATGACTATGCAAAAAAAAAATTAAAAATAATTATTTTTAATAATATTTTCAATATGGATGTCTTCTTATAAACCACAAAATAATCAATGTAATATATCATACATTAATATCAGTGAGAAAAAAATAAAGATATTGGACAAAATAAATATTCGGCAAAAATACAGAAATAAAACACTTGCCTTATATTATAATAAAAGTTTGCATTTTTTTTTTTTTTTTACAAAATTGAATAAAAAATAGACCTCTCACCAAATTTAATAAAGAAAAAAACTTTATTGCATTACCATACATATTATTTTTAGTAAAAAATTCACATGACAACAGTCCATATTGCACTTGTCATCATAATAGTTCTAAAATCCACAATCTAAGACTACGAATAACAGCAACCTTTCCAAACACCCAACCATTCAACCACCCTAATATTTAATTATTTTCTCTCTCTTCCACATCATCAATGATCATCCCAACCACACCATCTCAATTTTGCAAGTTTATTAGCAACCACACCAACATCCAACCACAACCTTTTTTTCTTAATTTGATTTTATTTAATTATTATATTTTTTATTTCATTTCATTTTAATTATTAATTAATTCTTTTATTTGCTTTGATTTAATATAATTATATAATTATTTTATTTTCTTTGATTTAATATTATTATATAATTATTTTATTTCATTTGATTTAAATAAGGCGATTAAATAAAATATAACCACATCGATTACATTAAATAGACAATTTCATAAATAGACGATTAAATAAAATAAAACCACAACGATTACATTAAATAGGCAATTACATAAAAAGACGATTACATAAAATAAAGTTACATTGGCTAGACAATTACATAAACATGCGATTACATTAAATAGATGATTACATAAAAAAGAGCACAATCATACCAACTAAACCATCATGGGAATAATTCCTGCATAAGGCGGTTTTTGACAGCTTCTTCTTGAGGAGATAAGTTGCTTTTACCCATTAAAGTGTTGAGCATATTCATTTTGTTGTTGAGCGTGTTCATGGCTAATTTTTGCATCTTAATTTCTCCAATCTTGTTAATTGCTTCAATTTCTTTCTCACGTGTGATCCTCATTGCATTAAGTGCTTCAGTGTAGTCATCAGGAACAACTGGGGATTGTGATGCAGTGGCTTTTCCTTTCCTTTTTCCTTTCGCCTTGTCTCTGCCAGTAGGACGACGAATTGTTGAAGTTTCACTAACTTGGATTTCATCGTTTGGGTCCTCATCTCCTCCGGTAGTTCTTGATCTTTTGGAGCTTCCACGATCTTCTTCAACATCATCATCGCCAGCATATTCTCGATCAATGCGAGTACGATGATGCTCAACACCCAATTTCAATTCCCACTTGGATAATGACGCATAATCTTTTCAAAAACTTCATGATGCATAAACTTCGTACCTTTTTCGCCGCTGTAAAATTTTTGAGCTATCGTTTCAACATCTGCATCAGACATACCGCTACTTTTTTGAGCATATGCTTCTTTGTAGGCGCCCAACCACTTGGTTACATTTGTGTTCAACCTCCTATAACGATTCCTTAGCGATTCAATGGTTCTTTGTTGTCCCATAAACTTTGAGTTGTCCGCACGAGCTTCCTCATACATTTCCGAGATACTTTTCCAAAATGTCTGACTATTTTGGTTCGTGCCAATAGCAGCATTCTGACTTACGGTAACCCAAGCATACATGAGTGCCAGATCTTCTTGATTTGTCCAAACTTTGGGAGTATGTGAAGTACTTGTATTTTGGGACTGGATATTTTCTGGAGTGAGATCAATTGGAAGCTGAGGGTTTGAATGGGTTTGAAAATATTGACTATCAAGATTTTCAAGGCTAGGATAATAATCTTCGGTGTTTGAGAAAAAATTGCTTGGATCCATTGATAAATTGAGATCAATAGAGTTTTGGTAATGAAAGGAAGATGAAATCCTGTGATGATTTTCTGGTGTGTGTGAAATATGCTAAATGAGGTCTCTATTTATCAACATTGATTGTGTTTTTTTGACATGGATTGTACTTTTTGACGAATGGACGAGATTAATTGCTTTTTGATGGATGGACGAGATTAATTACTTTATTGATGAATGGTGGAGATCAAACTGACATGAATTGTACCTTTTGACATGGATTATGCTTTTTGATGGATAGATAGGATTAATTGCTTTTCGACGAATGGATAGGATTAATTACTTTTTGATGGATGGACGAGATTAATTGCTTTTTGATGGATGGACGAGATCAAACCGACGAGAATTGTACCTTTTGACATGGATTATACTTTTTGATGGATGGATAGGATTAATTGCTTTTCGACGGATGGATATGATTAATTACTTTTTGATGGATGGATGAGATTAATTGCTTTTTGATGGATGGACGAGATCAAACTGACAAGAATTGTACCTTTTGACATGGATTATGCTTTTTGATGGATGGATAGGATTAATTGCTTTTCGACGGATGGATATGATTAATTACTTTTTGATGGATGGACGAGATTAATTATTTTTTGATGGATGGACGAGATCAAACTGACAAGAATTGTACCTTTTGACATGGATTATGCTTTTTGATGGATGGATAAGATTAATTGCTTTTCGACGGATGGATAGGATTAATTACTTTTTGATGGATGGACGAGATTAATTGTTTTTTGATGGATGGACGAGATTAATTGCTTTTTGATGGATGGACGAGATTAATTACTTTATTGATGAATGGTGGAGATCAAACTGACATGGATTGTGCTTTTTCACATGGATTGTCAATTGTATATCTGAAATTTATAACCCTGGAAAATTACAATATCAGTTATGACAATAAGAACTTACAATATTACGACACTCATATTGAAATATTACGACACTAAGACATTACAACATTGGAAATATTACGACACTAATAAGACATTACAACATTGAAAAATCATGAAACTGAAAAGTTACAACATAAGAATATTACGATACTGAGATATAACAAACATATCTCAATTTTCACGCCCAAACTTTTGCCAAATGTGCTCGATAAGGTCTTTCTGCAGAGCAATGTGAGCTTCTTTGCTACGAAGTTGTGACCTATTTTTCATGTAGCTAGATAAACTTGCAATTCGTTCCGTACAGAATTCAAAATTTAAATTATCATCATTTTCATTTTGAGGATTAGATCTTCTAGCCTCCATAAACTCTGTAGGATCACAATAGTTTAAGTAAGTGTGTCTCTCATCTTCCACTATCATATTGTGCATAATGATGCAAGCAAGCATTATTTTTCCCATCATGTCACGATCCCACAGAAGACATGGTTGTCTGATGAAATGGAAGCGAGCTTGCAGAACCCCAAATGCTCGCTCGACATCTTTTCGAGCTGCTTCTTGATGTTGAGCAAATAGCTGGTGCTTCTTAATTTGTGGGTGATTGATTGATTTAACAAATGTTGCCCATTGAGGATATATCCCATCAGTGAGATAATATCCCATATTTTTCTCGTGGCCATTGACAATATAACTAACCTTTGGTGCTCGACCTTCCAAGACATCCTTGAAAACAGGAGACTGTTCAAGCACGTTGATATCATTTCTGGACCCCGGAGTTCCAAAAAATGCATGCCAGATCCATAAATCCTGTGATGCAACGACTTCCAAAATGATTGTTGCCTTACCGTTTCTTCCTGTATATTGTCCTGCCCATGCAGCAGGACAATTTTTCCACTCCCAGTGCATGCAATCAATACTTCCTAACATACCTGGGAAACCTCTTTGTTCACCAATATGCAACAAATATGCTAAGTCACCTTCATTCGGCTTTCTGAGGTACTCATCACCAAAGTTTGAAATCACACCCTGCACAAATTTTTTAACAGATTTTCTAATAGTTTGTGCACTCATTCGAAGGTATTCATCATGCAAATCAGCTCCTGTACCGTATGCCAAAACTCTCATAGCTGCAGTACATTTTTGAATTGAGGACATACCTAATCTCCCAGTTGCATCACTTTTTTGTTGAAAAAATTCATTTGTTTCAACGAGTTTACTCATTATTCGTTCGAATAATGGCTTCCGCATACGAAATCTTGTTCGGAAAACTTCTGGAGGATAGATTGGATCATCTGAAAAGTATTGCTCAAACACCCCTTCATGGCCCTTCTCACGTTGTCGCTCAATGTAGCATCGTCGGGGCTCATTAGCAGTGTTTGTAGGCTGAAAAGATATAGTAGGAATGCGAAAAGCAATTTCCTCCATTTGTGAGTCAATTTATAGATTTTGAAGTATAAGGCCTTCATGCCATTCATCAAAGTTTTCATATGATGACATATTTTGCAAAGTTTTGGTGAAAATGATAATTTGAATAAGAAGAAAGTTTTGATTGTAGTGATTTGATGATACAAAATTGGTGTGTTATATTTATAAATGCAAGTGGTCAATTTGACATGGATTGTGCTTTTTAAAAGAATGGACCAGATTAATTGCTTTAGTGATGAACGATGAAAATCAAATTGACGAAGATTGTGCTTTTAACAAACGGCTCAGATTCATTTCTTTTGTTAGATGTGATGGGATTTATGTATTGTGATTTAACATATTTTTATTTTATTATATAAAAAACATACAAATTTAAAAACTATATATTTATGTCAATTTAAAAATAAAAAAAAAAGTATAGCAAAATTGATCTCTATTCGTAGAGAATTAAAAATTATGAATTTTGGTATATTTATTTATTTTTTTTATTTGATTATATAAAAAATATATTAGTTTAAAAATTATAAAAAAAAAAGATGAACCAATGGGATGGAGACAAGTGTCTCCATTCCATTGGTTACATTATTAATGACCAACTCAACCAACATGGTTGGCTACCACCCAAAACCCACCGGCGGTCTCCCTACTTTTTTCATTTTTCTTTTTTTTTTCTTTTTTTTTTTCCACCTGGACACACCAGGTCATTGTTATTTGTAGTCTAAGGGGTGATTATTTATGGATTGGACTATGTTGATTTGATGAAAAGTAGGAGAAAAATTATTGGAAGTGATAGTTGGTTAGAATTATGTGAGTGGGTGAATAGTGAATTAAAGTTGATATGATGTGTAAGAATGATTGGTTGATATTATATAATTATATTGATAATATTAAAGACAGTGGAGTTGAGTTAAAATAGTGTTTTTTTTTTTTCGAAAGTTAAAGTAGAGTTAAAGTTGAGTTAAAATTTGAGTTTTGATTGAATTTTTTATTATTGAATTCATATACAATCGCCCCTTAAATTTTCTCAATTCGTAATTTGGTTAGCCAATTTTTAATATTCATTCAATTGCTATTTTTTAACTGTAAATTATCAATAAATACTTTATTCTTTTATATCAAATCTATTCGAACCATTTTATGTGATATAGGATATTATACTGGACCTGGTTTAATGGATAAAGCGGATACATTTTGGAAGATAAGCCCACTAAGACGTCCAAGCCCAACATTATGGGCCAAGCTCATATTGAGCCTACAAAGGTACACTCTCCCTATAAAAGGGGGGCCAAGGTACCTCATTCACACATTATCCTCTCCTGATTACATTACTACACTTTATCTCTCTCTTGATCCGGGCACTGACTTAAGCATCGGAGGCCCGACGCCGGGGCCACCCCCGGCGTTGGGTTCTGCAGGTACGGAGGCCGGTTCGAGT